CCTTAATTTTTAAAGATGGATTTTAAACAGCAAACGTTGTTTTGTAGTTGGAAATACTGTTGTATGTGTAGATTACATTTCTTAAAGTTTTTACATGGAAAATGAAGGAGTTTCATTGCATTGTTGTGTGTAAGTCAGCACAACACTCTGTTGGGTGCTCTCGAAACCAATCAGAAAGATCATTCTGGTGACAGGGAGCTTGAAGCTAGTGCTTTTCTTATTTACCAACTTGCCAAGCAAATGATTCTTCAGATCTAAACAGGACGAAAGGTTAGGATGGGAAAGAACTGTTTTGTATGTTCAAGCTTTGTTGGTGTTTTCCAGGTAGTGATTTCTGTCAGGGTTGTTACTGTTTCTGTAGGAGCAGAAGTGCAAGTCTGGGGATCACTGCTTACTTCCAGCTGGAGCAATTTCCCATTTACCTTGATAAACCTTTCCCTGCAGTTCCAGATTGAAAGCTGTATACTTCCTCAATCATACTTCTAGATTGTTGCCTGGCGTGGCTCTGTGATACTAAAAAATGGCCATGCTTAACCCCAGTGGTGGGCGAACTTAAGCCCAGTGCTGAGCTATTTACGTGTCCTCTGTGGGAGGGCAAAGAACAGTGTTTACATTCTGTTTCTAGCCCACCGTGCAGCAGGGAGGTGAGTGAGGTCTGAATCCCCTGCTCCATTGCCCTCCAAAATCGTATGTGTTCCAACTCTGTGCAGCTGTATGCAGCCAGCTCTGCCACCCACTTTCCAGGTGCGCTCCTCCTCCAGCCCCAGTCAAGCAGCTCCACTCCATCTGGAGTTCTTCTTGCCAGAGCTTTCCTAGGTACACATGGATGATTTCTAGCCTGTCTGCCCAAGTGAGTGTCAAGAATAAAAACCAAACAGTGCCACTTGTGGTGTAACTGGAGGAGGATGTTCTTTGCTAAGTGTGCTTGGTTTTTTGTAAGCACTCCGGTTTTTCTAAGTTCAGAGTGGGTATCAGACTGCTTTTGTGGACCAGGCGTATCAAAGCTTATTGCCGCTCCTGCCTTGTCCTCAGTTCCCCTGGGCTGGTCAGTCGTGCAGCACAGTTGTAGTCAGAGCTGCATGGGCTCAGTAATGTAGCTGAGATTTCTTTTGTGACTGTTACGACCTTTGTGATGACATGCAAGTCTAGCTGATCAGTTTGGTATCACTGAACATCTTTATTACTCTTTTCATCCTTCTTGAGCATAATTCTGACTAGATGCAGTTGATGATAATTTCTGTGTCATTAGGTGGGAAACCAGTATATAATATTAAACATCTGTAAGGATGTTATTTATTAGGATGAAGTAACGTTAGGGTTCTAGGCTTTTCTTCCTGCAACTAAATACTAGAGTCAAAATGCCTCAAATGCCCCATAAGTAGGAAGTGAACACCTTTTTTTTACTCTGTATGGTTCCTTCTTTATGAACTGGTGTTTTTTAAACTTATTTCAGGAACATAGGAAAAGGCACTGTAGCTTGTAACTCTCTTGTCAAATTCTACCTGTTTAAAACTACTGCAAGAACCTGTAAATGTATGGTATATTTTTAATTCTTTTCACAGCTTGTACCTCCATTTAAGCCACAAGTTACATCTGAAACAGATACGAGATACTTTGATGAAGAATTTACAGCACAGATGATAACAATCACTCCTCCTGACCAAGGTAAAGTTTTCCGGAATGTTTCCCACTGTATTCTCTAGACCACCAGAAAGCATATGCTGTAATGTCACCTTGAGGTTACTCTTCAGACCGTGTGAAAAAGCATTAGTTTGAACTTGCTGGTTTTCCATACGTGCATCTGACCATGAAGTTGGTAAATTGATGTGAAACTTTCCATGTGTCTTTTCAGTTGGGAAATGAAAAACCTCTTTTAGAAGACAGTGACATTATTTGTACTGCTGTCTTTTCCAAATCTGCACATTCCCATTGGAAAACAATCCTTTTCACGAGTTTTGCACGTGTACATCTCTGCACATGCACTGTCTATGCAAGCAGTCAATTGGATATGGACCAGTGTCCATATTGAATCTAAGTACCCTTTATTATCATGGCAACTGAGCATGTTTCATGCTCTGAAATAGAAATTACTGGAAATTCAGATCACTGAGTATGGATTTAAGTAATGCAGCTCCTAGCAGTTCTGAATGCACATCCGAATAACTGTTTATGTACAACAACCAGGATCTTCTCTGATGCCCCTATTCAGTGGGATGAGATTTAAGACTTCTGTTTCTTTGTCCTTTCAAGTTACGAAAGAAAAAGACAGTGAAATTTTCAGAAATACCTTTACCATGCATTATCTTGCTCTTTGTTTCCTTAAAATAGAGAGCAGGAAGCAAATGTTGTCTCCTCTTCATTTTTCAGATGACAGCATGGATTGTGTAGATAACGAGAGAAGACCTCATTTTCCTCAGTTCTCCTATTCAGCCAGTGGAACCGCTTAATGTTTTGCAATGTTTTCCCATTCAGAAACAAAACAGACTGCATTTTGGGGACCGTACTTCAATGGACACTAGAGAACTTTCTATATTATCTGAATTACAAACTGTGTTTGTATTACGATTTAGATGAATTTGTAGGAAGCCTCACAGATCCTGTATTTAAAACGATTCTTTGATGCATTTTTTGAGAAGGAAAACAAATCCATTCTTAAAGTATTACGTCAAGGCTTTTATGCTGAATGACTATAGGTTTTTAAGAATATACACCAAAACTGTTTACTTTAGAAATAATTAAGGTATTCAACATATCAGCAACTCTGACCAGAAAATCCCCACTTTATTTATTTCATACAGTTCATTATCTAAATATAGAATCTGCACTCTGAACAATTAGATTTATATAGGAAGATATAAGACTTTAGTAGCTAGTGCAATAATATAAGCAACAAAGTGAACAAACTCTGGAGGGTTAAGGTTCAAACTCATTTTGGACAGCAGTGAAAATGTCATCCAACTCCAGAAAACCAACTTTAGGAACAGCATTAATGGCCTCAGTGAGGTAAATCAAAAAGCAAAAGTTATTTTTGTTATAACATCTGCTACAAGACATTACATATCAAACTGAATCCAGTGGAATTGCCATGTAGTACAGCTGAGTATTCCATTTTAGACAGTGCGTTTATTCCATTTGCATAGTGTTTAGGAATACTTTGTAGGATTGGCTTCTCAGATCCTAGAAAACACTTGATTTACCAATATAATATGAAATGCAACAATGCAAAATCACCCACTTTCACAACTGTATAAAAATGCTACCCAGGTCTCAGTGAGAAATCATCTTAACCAGTGAGTCAGGCAGGCAAAAGGACATTTTGGCACTGAAGTAATGACTTGTTGCCACTTTTTTTTTTTTATGAAAAGATATATGAATATATATAAACACTTAATGATTTTTTGCATCATGCCAGATCATTTCTTCTTTCTTGAGTGTGCATTAAAGGTATCAGCCGACAGTTCATGGTGCCTTCTCACTCTTGAAGATTCACTTTAACAGTGTTTCCCATGTATAAGAAACAAACTAGGTTGAAACTTCATATGTGTTTGAATAATAATGGTGTTCAAAAAGTTACTTTTTTTTGGTTTTGTTTTTCATTTTTAATCTTAGTGGAAAATTCCCCACACCCTATTTTTGTTGTATCATGTTTCTTTGTAATTTTCATAAAAGCAGTCTTACTCTGCCTCTGCTGTGAATGAATTTATTCCATTGTAGGTTGCGTTCTCTTAACTTACCTTTTCTTTTTCATTCTCTTGCGTGTATAAAAATGATGACATGTACTGCAGTTAACTAGCATTTAATTTTTTTACCTGAAAGGGAGTATGTTATGAAACCCTTCGCTTCCCCTTTCTATCAGAAACTGCTATGTTTGCACAGAGAGCCCATTACCTTGACTCCTTTTTTTTTAGTAACATTCAACTCTAGTATTTTTACTCATGATTCCCTCCAAATACTTAAATAAAAATTGCTTTAACAAGTTAGGTTCTTATTTCTTGTGGTAGGAGCCTTCTGAATCTGTAGAAATGCAAGAACTGCTCCAGTTTCTTGAGTTTGATGTGCCTGTCACCGAGGGATTTTTTGGAGGGATTCAGGCTTTTCTGCCCCTCCTCCGTTGTTTCATCTCTGTGCTGATCATTATGCAAAGATAACTTTGGAAATTGTTTGTTAAAAGAAGTACAGCCTGTACCAGAAGTAGTTTTGTCTTGAGGTGAATGAGGACAGGCCTCATTTTGCTGCCCCCTGATGCCAGTGAGATTGTGTTACTCAGGCCCTATCTTCAAAGTATTTCTATTCCAGTCTTTTGGGCCAGTGTACAATATATAATACTGTGCTTCCTTTCTAGGGACTAGTATGAATTGATTCTAGGAGGTAGTTATACAAGGCTGGAATGTCTTTTTTCGAACAAGGATACAGAGAAGGATAAAAAAGCACCCAAGAACAACTGCAGTGTGCTTCAAACTAAGCACAGATGTTGCAACATTATTAAACCATTAAACATCCAAAACATTTTTTTGGTTCAGGGAATATGCTGTAATTCCAAGTACAATTTACTGCACATTTATGCCAGGAAGGTGAAAGAAGGGATCTGTGTCTCTGTATGATGCTGAACAGCCTGTCCCATTCTGCAGGTCTGACCTCCTAACTGCACTGCTTCATTTGCTTCCAAGCCTTCATCTGACTTTCCAGCCAGCCCAGGGATGAAGTCCAAAGAGCTCTTCTTCAGATCTACATGCCCTGACAAGTTCTGAACTAAGACACTTCATGCATCCAAATATAGGCAACATGAGTGAGCAAAGGTTACCATTAATCTGCTCCAGGAAAATCTGGTCTTTCAAACGCGGGAAGAGACATAGATCGGATTGTTCTGTTCAGACTGATTATGTCTCAGAACAGTGTTTTTCTGCCAGTTGTTGCTAATGGATTTTTAATTCCCACATATAAAATGGAACTTCACAAAAAAAATGCAGCTGTCAAGAAGTCTGGGAATCGTAGTATTGACAGCAAGAGAGCTGTAAGGGCACACCTGAATGCAGGGTCTTCAGGTCTTCTGGATATTTTCCCCCATTTTGCCTGTAACTGTTCAAAAGGCTCTGCCTGTTGTCTATAATTGAATGATTACTGGTGTTACAGCTCCTACCTGCAGGCATAAAACTTGTTCTTTAGATTTGGCACAGAAACGTTAATCCAAAAGTCAGTGACCTGAGTGGTGTTCACTTCAGATTGTTTTTTGTACCATATATGCTGCTTAAATCTTTCAGCTTCTTCAGCTCCTTTATTTGAAAACCCAAAACCTTTCTAACTATCTGTAGAGCCAAAACCTCCTCATTCTTTCTTTTGGCACTGAAAAATGTCACCTTGCTCTGGCATTTGAACATTGCAGCAAAGATGGTGTTCACTGTGAGGTGTCCCTGCCCATGGCAGGGGGGTTGGAACTAGATGATCTTAAGGTCCTTTCCAACCCTAACTATTCTATGATTCTATTCTATGATTCTGTGGTGCGGCCCAAGTGTAGAACACTGGTAGTACACATATGGTGCAGCCCAGGAACTTGGTTGTAAGCTTGGACTGAGAGAAAAATAGGAAAAAAAAGAAAAAGCCACCTTTGCAAGAGCAAATAAATACAAAGAGTTCTCCATGTGCCTCTGACTTCAGTCAGAAGATGAGGTCAGCTAAGCACTGGCTGAAACAGGCATACGCTGCTGCTTGTGCTGTATGGCGTTAAGAGACATTGGCAGAAGGCAGGTAATTCTGCAAATTCCATTTTACATTCTGTCTGTTACTGAAACATCTAGTACAATCCCATTAGGATATGGCAGGCTGTTCTCCCTACCATGGATTATAGCATTCCTAACTGCACAAACTTGACCTCTCACCTCCCACAATAAACTGTTCTTTCTTCGTTTTACCCTCTGTGGCATCACCCCTCAGGCAGGTGACCTCCATGTGCTCTCCAGCTGCTATACTGCTCTCATGCAGGCCTTGAAAATCTCAGCTGCTGTTTGTATTCTTTCCCAGTTTTCCTCTGAGAAACAAATGACAGTAGTTTCTGGAGGTTTGAGGGCAACATCTTCCTGTGATTGTTTGATTTAGATGATCTTTGCTTCAAGTGGGGTCAATTTTTGTCTGCTACTTTGATTGCTTATGTGCATTTAAATGCTCAGTATGAGAGCACTGTATTCTTCATACTCCTACTTGTTTGTGTTTTTTTTAAATCTTTGTCAGAGAAGATACCCTTTGCTTTTTAGAGCACCTATGCTAATTCAGATTTTTATTTCCAGGAACAGGATTTAGGATAGTGGTCCCAACTGGAGGTCACAGCCGGTATTGGGAATGCAAACTCCAAGGAGATGGAGTTGCGGAAAAGAAGCCCACACACGTAAAGCACCTGTGGGAGTTGCGTGGGTTTCTGCCTGAGAACTTTGGGAAATGATAATTCAGGAGGAAGGTTTGATTTATTTCGCTGTATCTAAAAGCTTCAGAGGTGAAAGCGCATTCAAAGAAATGGGTGAATGTAAAAGGACCTTGTTTCTTTGGTGTTGCAAATTTGTGTGTTTGTCTTCCACATTGGCTCGTTTTTTTAATAACAGGGAGGTTAATTGCTACTAGAAGTAAAATGAGAAGAACACACAGTGCCTATAGCAAACGGGAGCTTATTATCCCCGATGCAGCTGAGTGTACAGACGTTTGGTAGCTGTCTAATGGAACATATGTTGCATTCTAATCGGGTGATGACTAGTTGCTCTCTGTCTGAAATAATTTTAAACAAAACCACTGTGTTACACTAGTCCCTGTGTGCTACTTCTTTCCCTTTTTTCAATAATTTTAACTTTTGTAACTGCTGGTTGCCATCCTGGGTTGTGAGCATGGTGGGTTCGTTCTTGAGGACCAGATCAAGGACTCTGCATGTGAAAACACTACATTCTTCTGTGGTTTTTCAGCAACCTTGTTGGCTGGTTCTCAGCTTCTCCTTCACTGAAGCACGGCTTCATGCGTTTGTCTGCCTGTTACTGCTCACTACCTGTGTCTCTAGAGATGGACTTTCTGAACTTCTTCCCAGGTTTAATGTAACCCCCATCTATGCTAAGATTCCATTTTTATGATTTTTCCCACACTGTTTCTTCATGTCCTCAGTCATATACCATAACTACTTGTATTTTGCATCTTTGTCAAGTTTTTGAGTTTATTTCAAGATGACAACACAGATGGTAGCTGCCGTGTCTCTGAATTCTGGGGGGTCTCTCAAGTTCTGTATGTTTGAAAATAATGCATAATCTTTCACCCAACAGAAGATGTTATAATTGTTTTGAGTACAAGAATGAAAGTTCTTCACAGAAACAGGAGCCACAATTCCTACCCCAAATGTTGTGATCTTTAGTTATTCATCAACTCTACCATATCTATTTCCTTGCCCTATTGTGTTCTTACAGTACTGATGCTGTTAGCCAGAGAACTGTTGTGTAATACTGAGAAAACTTCTGTTGGAACAAAAAATAGTGATTGTGATCTTCAGCAGTGCCTGGGAAATCATTGAAATCAGATTAAAATGATCATAAAATACATGCTGTAAACATTACGTTGTTTGGGGAAAAAGCAAGCCCACCAATACTGGTCTTCCTTCATTTTACTGAATTAGAGTGATTGGAACATCCTGGACTCCTCTGGGGAAGTCTTGCTGACCATGCTTGGAGCAGGGGTGCTGGGCTAAACAGTCTCCAGAAACCCAGCAAACCTCAACTCATCTTTGAGTCTACTTAATGATTTATTTAGGTCCTGGACTTCAGAGCAGGAGCTTTAGTGAAGGACATTCTTTGTGGGGGTTTTCTCAGTCATCTCTGGTATGTATTTGTACTTCCAGACTGACACAGCCTGTCTACTACTTTCATACAATCTATGTGACTCAGCACCAGCCTTGCTTTGAGATGCTTCCAGTAGTACAAATCCTGAGGGTTTTTCTCATTCTCTTTTGTCAGTGCCCCTGGTCATCCCAAGTTTACTGCACTTACTGTTGTAAGCAAAGTATTTATCTTTGTTGGACCTGTACATATTTTATTGCATAGTATTTTTGTAAGTAATTTTCTCCAGGGTATGACGAGTATGTGGTAATATCTGGTGTACTGTCACTTACTGGACTGGAGGTTGTCGGTGCATTCCTCTAAAGCAGGAACACCAACACTTGACCTTGAGACATGGGTCCTGGCAGGACCTTAGGTTTCCTCCTGGTGTGATTAGGAGAGAAAACCCTGAGTGATACTTATTCTTTCAGGACCCAGGATGCAGGTGAAGGATGATGTCTACTTTGCATTAGAATTTGCCCTCTAAAAGGATCCTTTGGCTGTTCCGGAAAGGCTGCAGTAACAGTATCACTCACTGTCAGGCACTTTCATCTCTGCTTGGTTTTGGTGGTTGAAGCTTTTGCTTTCCACAGCGTCATTCCCAAAATAGATTCCTTTAATGTTCTTTTCACCTGTCTGACACAAGTCACTCAGAAGTTGTTTCTCATGCAGACTGGAGCTGCCAGCTCCCTTAAGGTGGCTTGCACCTGGAGCTGCACATCTGTACCCTGAGGATTTGCATATGTTTCCAGTTTGCCAACTCTTAACGCCGGGTTGACTTGGGTGTCCTGACAGAACTGAATCCAGCAGCTTGCCACACGTCAGCTGTGCCTGAGCGAGAGCCTCAGCATGGCTGTGGGCACAGTCTGTGCTGTGGAGGCTCCTTACCATGAAACTGGCTTTTTAATTCAGTGAAGTGCAGCTCTGACTTTCGAGAACTGCAACACCTTTTCCAACAAACACACACAGGCCTGGAGATGATACAGCATTTCAGTGACTTTAGCTAATGATCTTTTCTAATATATTTGATAAATTCCTCCAATGGTTTTTAAAGACTTTATGGATGTGCAGAAAGATAAAAACATAAGCCCTTTAATGACCCTTAATAATGAAAAATGGAGTGATACTATTTTTAGGCTCCTTACCATGGTTGCAGCATATAGTAAGCTTTCCATAAAATATGTTCAGCTGCAATTGTTCCTTATTCCAATATTATTAGGGGAAGTGAAACAAAACAGGACAAGAATACCTGTTGACTGTCCAGTCATGAGTATAAAATGAAACTGCAAAAACAAAGTGAACAAGGTCACTTGGTGTAACTGCAAAGTTGCAGAGGAAGGGAACTATAAGCAAGCAAGCAGAACAAAATGTACTTATTTACACAGGTGATGTTGTCATAAATTTGATGTGTAACTAAGATAAAGGGATTAAACTTAGTACCCCTTTACTTGATTGTAAAACTTGAAATTGTGTTACCTTTCCAAAGTTTTACTTTCTGTGCTCATTTGCTCAGCTGTTAAGGAAGTGGAGATCAAAGGTGGCTGCTTGTTGTTTAAAATGGATTGACTGTTTCTAATTCTAGTAAGCAGCTGAGTTGTGATGAGGGTGATGCTTCCTGGGCAGCCCAGTGGTTTTCCAGGTAACACTGAAAAACACCTGTGCTATGTCAGAGCAGGGAGAGGTATCCTGACATAGGATATCACCAATGAAGTTAATGTGTGTGATGCAGTGTTGCCTGGGGTTCTCCTCTACAAAGGAGTCACTTCAACGTGCTTTTCAGATCACTGCTGGCAACTCTGTTTTTATTATCTATCTCTGAGTAACGAAAAAATGCAGGTGCATGTTACAAGAAAGGAAAAGTCAACAAGGATACTTTTGGAATATAAAGAAAGCCCTAGATGTAAATACGCGTATTTTCCTAACGGGTTCAGCTGAATTTTCACAGCACGGAGATGCCTGTGTGCACAGGTCTGAGGAGCATATGATATGGGTGCGCAGGCTGGTGGAGGCCACGGACACCCGAGGGCTGCTGGAGAGGAAGGCTGTAGCAACACAAAGAAGCTTCCAACTCCCCATCTGGAAAAATCCCCCACAGGAGCACAGGCAATAGCAATGCCATCTGTCCGTCTTCTGCAGAGCAGATCTCTCCTGGGAGCAGAAAAAAAGCTGGCACATGAAGGTGGGCTTTCACTTCCCTTCTGCATGGAGGTTAGATGCAGATTGATGGGTGTTACCTGTAGAGACCAGGCTGCTCTATTCTGTCCCCTCTCCCTTTTTTTTGAATCAGTTTTGTCTGAATTCCAGCTCTTTATTTTGCCTTACGACACTCCTTTCCCTGTCTCTTCCCAGCAGCCAAGGAACAATGGATACTTTCATCTGCTTCTCCCCTGCCTTCTCTGATTCTTTTTTATGCCACCTTAGCCTGTTTCTGGTCTTCTGCAGTCCCTTCTAAAGGGTGTGTTATAAACTGACATAATATCCCTTACAAATAATTATTTTCTCTTGGGTAGTGTCCTGATGCTGAATGCTCATTGGAGACTTCAGAGAACCAATATACATCGAAGCTCCATTTTAAATAGTGCAGGGAAGCTGCAAGACCCTCTTTCCTGGGTGTCTCAGACAAATGCAAATATAATGAGCAACAGGAGGTAGGGAAGTCTCCCATCAGCATGCAAATGTCCTGGCTATAGCCTCCAGTAGGGGCCAGAATTGTGCCTGCTGCTGGCCTGGGTGTGGTGGCAGTCCTAGAAGAAATGAAACACTAAAACCAATTGAGTATGTGACTTCAGGGATGGATGGATTATCTGTACTCAATGAGATGTTAGTTCAGATACTAAAGCTCCTTAATGTAGTAAAGCTAGGTGAGTTTAATTTTTTCACCTGATCCAAACCTATAGGATGACTTCACACTGTCTGTATACATTCTCAAGTTTTCTGTATTTTTGCATGAAATGCTGGTCTAACCAAGGGAAAGAGCATGAGATTTGAAGTTATTTCCTATTCCTATTTTTAGTATCAATCTGCTGCAGAAGCACA